TTTCAACAGTTCCAAATTATTTTTTAGCAATTTTAGGTCATTAACCTCATTTGTGAAAAAACTCCGCAGTTTTATTCATAAACGGTTTTTTGTCAAATTTATTCAACATTATTATTTTAAAAATACAATAGTTCATTAATTACTATTTGTCTGGAAGCCATGCTGAACCAATCCCATGTATTATATATATATATATATATATATATATATATATATATATATATATATATATATATATATATATATCATTGTCATCACCATCAAATTACCATCATCACTATAATATTTTTTTTTTCTTCCAAATTTATTTGAAAAGCCAAGCCAATATCACCGTTGTATTACTGCTCCTATCTCTACCAGTTCTAGCTGCAGGGATCACAATACTACTAACTGATCGTAAAAAAAGTCAGGAGATCAAAAAAGTAACAAAAGTACTTGCGAAGACCACCATGACTGAAATCAAACAAAAAATTACAATAATAGACTAATAATAATACATTCACAAAATTAGTTAAATACATTTAGCAACCACGTTAATAAACAAATACATTGCATAAAAGAAGTAAAAAAAGTACTGGATCAACAACAAAATGAAGGTCATACATAAACACAGTCAATTAGCACGCCCATATGTCATCACAGCGTCTTTTGCACATTGCTTAAATCCCTTCAAAGGTAGATGTGATTGACCATCCATGGCCAAATCATTCCATAATTTGGAAGTTTTAAATTTTTTTAACAGTTGACCACGTTGCCTGGTAGTTGTCCGAACCCTATCAAAAAAATTTAACTGCTTTAAAAATAAGTATTTTATAAACAAATACCAGCAGAATAAAATTATGTAATTGTTCTATTCTAAGAATTTGATGGTTACGAAACACGTCATCAGTATGATCGCGAAAGTTCAAAGAAAAAATTATTCGCATAAAACGTTTTTGCATCACTAAAACTTTATTGATCCAATATTTACTGGCGGATCCCAAAAACACATTTCCATATAACAAATGTGGATAAAAAAAGAATAATAAAGTAAGATCATTGACTTGACATTCAACCTGTCTCTCACTCTAAACAGAATCCCAACGGCACGGTACAGCCTATGGACGATCATGTCGATGTGCTCATTCCATTTCAGGTCACTTTGTGTAACAATTCCCAAAAATTTTACCGAATGAACCCGTGGATATGCCCTGGATAATCAGCTCAAAGCCACTCAGGGGCACCTTGTTCGTTTTTATTTTTTATGCTGAACCACTCTCCATGTATTTTATATATATATATATATATATATATATATATATATATATATATATATAAAGTTCACTTTGACAAAGTCAATCTCCATCTAAATTCATTTTGACAAAGTCAATTTTTCCCTATATAAACAGCAGAAAGCACTGATGATGATTCATTCGGAATCGAAATATGGCCTTATTTGCAGCATGAATTTGTAAAATAAGTTTAATTTGAATTTTAATAAACTAAATAAACTAAACGTTCACCAAAAAACATTAGTGAGAAAAATTGAAAAAACGAACTACAAACATATTAATGCCAAACATTCGGTAGAATTTATAGAATATTGTAAAAATTATGGTCTATTACCAACATATCAATATATATATATATAAATATATATAAATATATATATATATTTATATATAATATAATAAATCAATGCTAACTCAACAGAACATAAAATACCGCTATTAACTGGAGACTACAGACCAGGTTATATGTATGGTACTGTCAAAATTCACAAAACTGGCGACCCACTTCGTCCAATAATTAGTCAAATACCAACAGTCACATATAATGTAGCAAAATGGCTCAACAACATCCTAACTCCATATATTCCAAATGAACATTGCATTTCTTTATCATCAGAATTTATTCACATCCTAAAAACTAGATCATCATCAGGCATCATATCATCAATAGATGTGGAATCTCTTTTCACTAACGTTCCTGTTGATGCCACAATAGATATTATTTTAAACTATGTATATAATAGTGCTATGAATCCACTAAAAATTAAACCTCATCTGCAAAAACAGTTACTTCAAATCTGCACAAAAGAAGCTCCTTTCTACACTCCTGATGGAAAAATGTATCAGCAGGTTAATGGTGTAGCCATGGGCTCCCCTCTAGGAGTGTTGTTTGCAAACTTCTACATGGGATATTTAGAAGAAACTGTTTTCCAAAAGAAACCACATCTCAAACCCAAAATGTATGTAAGATATGTTGATGATACGTTCCTTATAGTAGAAAATGAAAACAACTTGATGGACCTAATTGATGAATTTAAATCCAACTCAGTTCTTTCCTTTACCCATGAAATTGAAAATAATAAACAGCTACCATTTTTGGATGTCCTGATAACCAGAAATGACATTGGTTTTCAAACGCAAGTTTATGCAAAAGACACCAATTTGGGATTTTGTCTTAATGGTAAAAGCGAGACCTCAGAACAATATAAAAATAGTGTTATATTTTCTTTAGTTAACAGAGCGTTTCAACATTGCTCTGATTATACACTCATCAACTCAGAATTATTAAGAATAAAAAAACTTCTCGTGAATTACTCTTTGAAACAAATTGATCAAGTCATAAATAGATTAACCAAAAAATATCATGAAAATGCACAAAATATACATCAAAATAATGCAACTACCAACAACGTTCCAAACAACAATGAACAGGAAGTTAATGGCAACCCCTCCACCACGTCTAATAACTTTGATAATAAGAGCATCACAAGCCTCACCACAAACAGTAATAACAACAACAGCAACAACAGTGCCAACACGGTAGATAACAATGCCACAACCCACAGCGCAAATATCACTTGCAAATGGAACATCATCACAAGAAGCATCCATCGGAGCATTTTCATGTCGGTTCGTTGAAGTTGTTCCAGTTTGGTTGTCATTGGCCATGTTTCTGCACCATATAACAACACCGGACGTATTACAGATTTATAAAGTCTTGATCGTAGTGGTAGTGGGATGTACAATCTAGAACATCCCCTAGATATTGAAACGGTGTGACTTTCTCTACCTTAATCGCTTCAAAAACATTCTATTTCGAATTTGTTGTTGTGGATTGATGCAAGCAGGACAAACAAAATTGGACACTTTAGATAAAGTTCCACTTATTTTTGAACAACGTTTCTGACACCACAGGTTACACTGCTTACACTTGATTGAATTTTCACCTACACCAGCTTTACATCGTCCAGTAGCCGTGGATTGGATTGTTAGATGTCTTTTTTTCTTGAAAAAGTATGACTATGTCTCAAGTTTTTACCAAGAAGCTAATCTATTAACAATTAAACAAATATATAATTTTGGTCTGTTAAAATTTATGTTTAAATTATATAAAAATTTATTGCCTCCTAATTTGTCCATTCATTTTAAAGCTCTTGATAAAAAGTTACGTGTTTTAAGACAAATGAATGATTATGTTCAACCTTACCCTAGATTAGTAATTTACAAATTATCTATTTTCTCCTCCGGGATTTCACTTTGGAATAGATTACCTTCAAAGTTCAAATTATTAAATAGCATTTTTGATTTTTTTTAAATAAAATATTATTATACGTTTCCAAATAATCTTTGTTATTTCAAATTTATTATGCTGATATAATATGATTAAACATTTTTGAGTTTATTGCTGTTGGTTTTTGAATGTAAGTCTTGAATGTATGTTGATATTTATTCTTGGACTTAGTTTGAATTCAATTTGTTGTTTGTTCAGGCAAAATCATAAGATTGAACATTTTAATTATATTGTTGTTATTTTTTGAATGCATGTCATGAATATATGTTAGTATTTATTTATTGGCCTTAGTTTGAATTATAATTTGTTGTATGATTTTACACATTATAGATAACACTACAAGGATCAAATTTTAATAATAAACATTGTGTACTAATTGTTTTTTTTTATCATGTATCCTACCTCATTTTCATTGCATTATTAATCCACGTACTTTTCTTTTTCCCTTTTTTCGGCAGAGGGTTTGCCCATACTTTTTTCAATAAACAAATAAAAAGGATCATCAGGATAGTAACAAAATCAAAATATACAGCGCAGGCAGAACCGTTGTTTTGATCAAATAACAACATGAACTTCAAAATATTGAATCAGTTTCCTGTGTCAAATTTGTATTCATGCAATTAATAATTTACTGGCAACATTTTATCACTATTATACGATAAACAAAGGCGATAGAAGAAAAAAATTACATTATAGCACATGTTTCCAAAACCGATCTCCTGTATCGTCATGTTATCTGCAGTAAACCAAATTTTAAAAGGTTTCAGTATTGACGAACAAACATGTCAAATTTCAAAGACAAACTGAAATCGCGTTTTTCAACATCATTGTAAATAATTGAATTGTATGTTAATGTGGATGAGTGAGTGCAAATGTGTGAACGTGTGTGAATGGGTATAATTGAACGTGAATTGGAAAGAATGAAGTGTGCTTAAACAATGTTCGTTGTAAACGGTCAATTGACTTTTTAAATTAAATGGAAATTGTAATCTGTAAACTGTATTGTATTGTACTGTATCATATAGTATAGTAATTCAAAGAATAAGTCAAGATGGCTGTGCTCTATGAGCTGCGTGTAATTTATTTGCTTCATTTCATTTAAAGTCAAATAAATTATCAATCAATCAATCAAATGGCTTCAACGGTCCGGCTGACATTTTAAAGAATAAAAATGATTCAATCGTAAATACTGAAAAATTGGTTGGAGACGGCACTACGTCCTAGAAATGAATCTAAATTTATCAGACAATCAAATTTATTACCAGACAACAAAATCTTTGTTTTTTATTTTTTGATGATTTGCTTAATACTTTTTTAATAATCATTTTTTCAAATAAGCTTAATTGTAAAATTAAACAATAGAATGGTGACTTAAATTTATGGTCGCCAGCTTTAATACTTTTTTTTTGAAAACACTCAACTGTAAAATAAAACACTAGAATGGTGACTCAATTTGGACAAGATCTTGAAAAAAGCATAGAGGGTGCAGGATCAGAAATCAGTATAAAGGAACTTTCCGGAGGAGCGAAGATCAACAGAATATTTCATGAAAGATTTCCATTTGAACTGGTTAAGGTATTAAACACATAATATGTTTTTTTATACAACATTGTATGAATATTTATTTTAAAATTTAGATTGAATTTGACGAGAAAGAATTAAGAAAAGAGATTATGATAGCAATCAAAAACATTCATGGAATTAGGTGATTTTCGAACAATTGTAAAATTTTCTTTTTGAAAATGTTTTCTTATTTCCGTATTGTTAATTAACATACAGATTTTCATAAAGCTCTAACAAAATTTATTGTACTACAAATTATGCCTTTTGGCTTTGTTGAAACAATTGCTACAGAACTTAATACACGTACGCTGAAGCAATCTAAATCTTAATACATGTTCGCTGAAGCATCATAGGCACAAGGATAGTCATGGGACAGACAAGAAATTAAAAAGCGGAATACTTCAATTTAATACTGTAGTTTAAAATATTCACATAGTGCAAATATAAAAGAGCTACCAACGTAATAATGGGACTACTAGTATAGGTTTGAGTACACATCTGGACTTGGGTAAATTCAAAAATTAAAGTTAAACCCATGAATTTGCAACTGACCATCTTTGAGTGATTCTGAAAACTGAAATCCAAAGACTTTGCAATGCCTATAAATTTTTTATACCTCTTTATTGCAGTTAATAAATTATTTTTCTACTAATTTCCCAATTTAGATTGTGATTAGATTGAGATTGTGACAAACTATCGTTTGATTTTTTCTATGAAAACTTACTGGCTTGAAAGATAAAAGAAAAAATTGTTATATTAAAAAATTTGAGATGAGATGCATGTAACGAAAAATATATGTATTCTATTTAACTGTTCTCAGAATTTTAACTCAATCAATCAATCTTCGTTTAGCGTCCAGAGACCCATTCCCCGAGGTAGGACGTTGTTTTCTTTGCCATCAATTTTTTGCGCCAAATTAGACGATCAATTGATTCCATTTCATTTAAATTTAGAGCTTTCATGAGTTGCTCGATGGTTTGCGACCAGGACTTCTTTGTACGGCCTTTGGGACGTGTGCCAGGTACTTCAAAATCTGCAAGAGAAGTTATGGCACTGTTTCCACTTCGTTTGACATGACCGAACCACCGCAGACGGTGTTGCCGGCATTCGTCCTTGATATCATCTAAACCAGTACGACGCAAGATTTCGGTAGATTTGATGTGGTCTTTCAGACTAATTTGTTGCATCCATCGGAGCATTTTCATGTCGGTTCGTCGAAGTTGTTCCAGTTTGGTTGTCATTGGCAATGTTTCTGCACCATATAACAACACCGGACGTATCACAGATTTATAAAGTCTTGATCGTAGTGGTAGTGGGATGTCACGCCACATCAATATAGAAGCAAGGAGATGCCATTTATTCCAGGCTGCACGTATGCATGCTCGAACGGCAGCTTCAGCTGTTCCAGTACAATCTAGAACATCTCCTAGATATTGAAACGATGTGACTTTCTTTACCTTAATGGCTTCAAAAACATTGCTATTTCGAAGTTGTCGTTGTGGATTGATGCAAGCAGGACAAACAAAATTGGACACTTTAGATAAAGCACCAATTATTTTTGAACAACGTTTGTGACACCACTGGTTACACTGCTGACACTTGATTGAATTGTTACCTACACCAGCTTTACAAACTGAACAGGGCCATCGTCCAGTAGCTGTGAATTGGATGGGTTCACCAGTGTTCATTGCTTTGGTTTTGCTGATGTTGACTTTGAATCAATGATCGGCGAGTCTGGTGTTCCAATCTTCAAACATCTGTGCTGCATTATGCTCAGACGTGGCTGTTAAAACGATATCAGCATATATTAGATTTCAAATGTCACCAGTGCGTATCGGTTTTGTGATTTCTTCCATCACAGTTATAAATAACGATGGACTGAGAATCGAGCCTTGGTGAACTCCAACGCCGATGTCAAATGCATCTGTGTTTCCAACCTTTGTGCTGACGAGAGTCCTAGTATTCGTATACATTTCCATCACAAGTCGAACAAGATATTCTGGAATGAGTTATCGACGTAGACTCCACCTGATTGCTTCACGGGGAACCCGATCAAATGCTTTTTCAAGGTCTACAAAAATGTGTGACAGTTGTTGATGCTTTGCGGGGTACTTCTCTTGCAGTTGCCGAAGGATGTGAATAGCATTAATTGTTGATTTCCCCACTATGAAACCAAATTGATAATTTCCAATTGTGATGCACGACGTTAATCTTCTCTCAATGATTTTCTCGACAATTTTCAGAGAGTGTTCTAACAGACGTATACCCCGATATGATTAACAGTTCAATGGATCACCTTTACCTTTGTACAGCGGAACTGTCATGCTATAGTTCCATTCAGTCGGCATTAAGCAATTTCTTCACACTTCGCGGCAAAGTTGTAGTAACGTTTGGATACCTGCAGTACCAGATGCTTTCATAATGTCATTTGTGTGAGCCCTGCTGCCTTTCCATCCTTCATAACTTTAATAGCTTTTGTAAGCTCCTCTACAGTGATGTCTGGAATCGGACCTTCGATGGGTGGAGCGTAAAAGTTGACATTGATGGGATTTGTTTCCTTTAAGAGACGGTTGAAGTATTCTCTCCACTGTAGCTTGATCTCCTCTTGTTCATGAACCATCTCATTTTTGTCGTTTTTGATACATGAGGCACCAACTATGTCTTTTTTCGTGCGCTTTGCTTGTTTTGCTATACGATACAGAGATTTCATTTTTTCATTTGTTTCATTTGTTCAGAATTTTAACTCAATATGAAACAAAAACGAATGAAATATATAATAAAAATTTTTTTCAAATTTGGGTTCAGTTATGAAAGTGAAAGCAATTATAACAACTGGTTAAACTTTTAGAATAAATTTTTACCAGAATATAAAAAAGTTACTTTTTTTGACAAAGTTTAATCACTCATTGAAATTTATTATTCATTCGTTTATTTTTATCAACATTTATTTCAATAGGACGGGCTTGTTTACTCCTGATATGGCTTTTGAAACGATAGTCAAGAAACAAATTGAAAAGTTGAAAGCGCCCTCCTTGAAGTGTGTTGATATGGTTGTTACTGAATTAACAAATGTTGTTCGGATATGCACTGAGAAGGTTATTAAGTCGAAACATTTTTTCCTAAATATAAAAAGTTGAATAGAAAGTAATGACACTTTTGAAATAAAAATTCATTAAAAATCTTGTTTCTTGAGGGTTATTTAGCATATTTTATATGTTTTGATAAACTATACATCACTCCTTGGACAAAACACCCTAAATTTGTAGTATAGAGACAAAGTGTTTTGTGTGTATGTGTGTTTCTGTAAGTAAGAAAGTATTGTACTTAAAAATGTTGCTACATTTTAGTTACGATGGTGCTGAGTTCTTACATCATAGTCAGGTGGAGATTATTTGGTAGCTAACCGCGCATTAAGAAAAATTAAAAAGTTAATTGAAACTAACATATAAGAAATGTTTCTCCACAAACTTGGAAAGAAATTATATAAAACTTGTTTTACTTAAGCTTTAGCTAAAATGAAATATAATATATATATCTTTCTGTAAAGTTTAGCACTTTTTTCAAAATATTTTAAAATTTAACCACAATAATTTTTTTAACAGATGGCAAGATTTCCACTCTTGCGGGAAGAGACAGAAAGAATAGTTAATACTCGTGTTCGTGAACGTGAACAAGTAACAAAAGATCAGTTAATCTTAGCTGTTGACATACAGCTGGCTTATATGAATACTAATCATGAAGACTTTATAGGGTTTGCCAAGTGAGTGATATTAATTAGCCGTTTTATATTATATTGATGAAGTAGCCTTCATGAGCTTAATTCTTACATTCTAATTCTACTTCCTAGTAGTCTCGATTACCTATTTTATATTTTAGAAAAAGCCTTGATAAGGCCGAATTTTATGAAAGGAATAATATTAGTTTATTTGCATTGTACTCACATTGCATTTTAAACGCTGCTACCGGATTTATTGCTATGGTTTCAAGATTTGTTTCAATGACGTCCGAAACGTGTTGCCGGAAAAAATAAAATTTTAAATAACTACTTGTAATTTTTTCTTGTAAGGGATGAACCAGCTTATTTAAGAGATAATTTAAAACCGGTTTTTAAAGTTACTAGTCGGTCTCAAAACTAAGTATCTTACGGCATTCAAGCCTGCCTATCTTGAAACCTTCGCTCGAGTGTGAAATGACTTTTTTGTTGTTCTGAGGAGATACTGCTCAACAATGTAATTAACTTAATTCGAAAGATGACAAACATTTTTTTATTAACCGATAAGCGTTTTACAAATTTGGAATACAATACAATATAATTATTCATTATTTTTAGTTAATAACTAAACAGCTATATTGTTAACCTTTTGCTTACAGAGGAACATTTCATCATTTAAACAGCATTCTTGTTGAATATCATTCTTACTTTGTATTTCATATTTCTACTTATTATTTGAAAATCCACATTTCTCAATTTTATATTATAGTATTCCATTTTATATAGTTGGATTAATAGTTATTTTTAAGCTTATTATTACGGTCTCATAAAAGTTATGTATAAACATTTTTTGGTGATTGGTTTGCCAAAAAGACGATTGTTTGCAATGCGGCGGCGTTTCTAGCCTAGATGTATTCCATTATAAGGGTTCCGATGGACGTTCCTGTTCAAACTATTCTGTTTTTTTTTATGGTGCATTCAATTCTTTTAGAATTGGAATAGTTTTCTGAAATGATACTACAAAGTGTGAATGCAAGTATGGTTTAAAACAGGTTGGAAAATTGGTTGCGATGTCTATGTTTGTTGATATTCGTTTTCGGACTTTGCGGAAATGTTTTCAGATTGTATTTTGTCAAAAAATATGTTGACTAAATTTTATTTTCAACTTTGCTAAAATTTTCATTATTGTCCGGAAAGTTCAAGCCAACGGAATGATTTCAGTTTATTATCGCTCACAACGGACAACGTGACTGCCCTAACTCTACTGTTTCCTCTCGTAAAGAGTCCTTCGTGTTTGTTGCATGTGGGATATTTTTCCATCTACACATTTCTACCTCTATACATTCATCAAAAACTACTCAACAAACGTAATACGAAACATACGAGACATTTTTAAATGACAGCAGGAAGCTAGAACTTTTGCCAACACAACCAATTAGTTTTTCTGCTTCTTATCCTTTGGCGTAGCAAAAAAAACATAACAGTTTGTTCTCCTTTTCTTTTTCTTCAGTAGCCAACTTATTGCTTCCAACATAAGGAAATTATGGAAAAAAGACCATCCAGTTATGCGTCGAACGATCTGTTTTGAAAAACTTTTCCGTCATAACCAAGGTTTACAGATTCTTACGACTGCACGGTACCCTACTTGCTTACAAAAAGATTGAAATTGGAGTTTGCCTTATTAGACAGAATGCAGAGTTGCAAACTCTTCTATTTGAATTTTAAATCAAAATTTGCCTTTTTTAGATAAAATGGTTGTGCATGCAACAATAGGATTGTATTTTCTGCTTTCGTACTCGAAAAAATGTTTTTTATTTTTGCGCATAGTTGCGGCGTAGGTCGAAGCGCCAGTAAAAAATTTTCTTTCAACACCTAGCATGTATCAATTTTATAAATTTTTTATTAGGTGTAATGATGTCGCGTTTTGTTGGTTGGCGAGTTAGTTCACGGTACGAGCATTGTTATTGAGAACCGATTCAAAAGTTGTGGGTTCAAAAAATATGATGCCGGTACGTATGAAAGTATGTGTAAGTTGTGTGATGTTATACTTGGAAATTATTCTGTCACTAGCGAATTTAAGGCTAAGTCGTGCAATAATAGTTCATTAGCAGTGGGTGTAAAATTCGTTTCCTTGTTCACAGCCAAGTTTTTATCAGCTCCACAACTTAAACGCAAATCTTATTATTATAAATAAAAATTCTAGAGTAGAGTTAGGGGTAGATACGTCTTTTTTACCAACTGATTTCGGAAAAACTTGGATTGCACCCAAAAGTCGTGTAAAAGGTAACCAAATTAACAATGATATAAAAAAAAATCATAACTTATTGCATTGTAAAATTTCTAGCTAGGCCAAAATGGTTTATCAATGGTTTATACATAACCTTAAAGTTGTAACTAAATTTACTTTCCAGTGCTCAACAAAGTTCTGAAAATCCCCACAAACAAAAAATAAGCAACCAGGTTATTTGTGTAATTCATTCATCTAATTTTTTTTCATGAATTGTTTATTTTGTAGGTTATTCGTAAAGGCTGGTTGGCTTTACATAACATTAGCATGTTTAAAGGAGGCAAGGCTGAATTTTGGTTTGTTTTAACTGCTGAAAATCTTATGTGGTTCAAAGATGAAGAGGTAAAAATTTAATTTTATATTACGATATATACTAGGGTTGTATCAGATTTGACTGTAACAATTCCGGCCGGATCAGAACTGCTTGTATTGTATAATACCTTGTTTGGTTTATCCCTATAAATTACCTTGTATGTTATCTTATATTTAATAGAAATTTATTTATATATATATATATAATTTAATATAATATAATATATAATTTGGTACGAGGTTTTCAGAAAGACATGTTCGATTAAAAATAATACCCCAATTTGTAGTTATTTGCTTTTTAAATAAGACTTCAACAAGACGTAATTTAACAGATTCATATTTATTTTAGTCCGTGATTTGGCTGACGGCCGGTTTGCCATCGTCAGAGCCTAAAATTATATGAATTAATTATTTAATTTAAATATTGAATTGAATTATATGAAATATTAAATCATTAAAATCAATTAAAAGTTACTGATAAATGTGGCCTAAAATAAATGTCACCATTCGATTTCCATCTAGTCTCCTGAAAGCAGCAGATGTCAATCCTTCTACGCTCGAGCATTTCTGCGATTTCCATGCTGCGACCAGTCACTGATCCAAGATTTAGCGTTCCAAGTCTAAGTACCATAGAGGGGCTATTCTGAATTTTTCTGCAACATCCCTCCGCTATTGCATACTTCCCAGGGATTCTTGGCACTCCTTGACCACTTAAGGCCTGCTGGGGACTAGGGGCCATTGTTTTTCTTTGTATTGGCATAGAAATAATTTGGGGAAAGGTTTTTACATCCGGACACCCATCCTGACGACAACCACCAGTTATAAGCGATGGGCCTAGCCTTTTGCTCAAAAGCACGCAAGGCCGCGTGGATGCAGTTTTATGTCATGCCCAGGACATTGTCATGCCCAGGACATGTTAGAAGTGAGTCACTCTCTGCACTGTTAATGAGCTAATTATTAATGAGCTAATCATTTGAGATCGGCGACGTGAAGATACAAACGGGTGGTTAACAGCGGTTGGTTCTAGTGTGGGTTTGCTGTATTCATATTTGTGGTTGACAGAAACTTGTTTACTGTTGACGACGTTAAGTGATTGAGATAGAACGGTATCGTGGTATTAAGTGAAAAGTTGCAGGACGTGGGCGAAGTTGTCGGACTGCGTATTGATCCTTGGTTTATTTGTGAGGATAAGAAGAGCTTTGTCAAGGATAGTTCTTGTGATTGGCATATTGTGTAGATTTTTTGGAGTGATCCTTTTTGAAGTGATATATATATATATATATATATATATATATATATATATGTATATATATATATATATATATATATATATATATATATATATATTGATGAGTCACAGCATGTTCGGCGTTAATTAACTTCCAATTTAACTTTTCGATTTTTCTAACGGTTGATCGTAAATCATTTTCAAGTTTCAAAACCAAAATTTTTGTTTATTTTATGCATGGTAGAACAGAAAAGCTTTTTTCGGTATTCCTATACTATCTTCAGTGTTCAAATTGATATGTTGTGTTTGTGCCCAGATGCTCAAATATATATATATTGTGTATACTTTACTTTGTTGATTTCTTGTTTGTTTAAAGTGAATACTTAGTTTTATAATCTTCGACTTCGTTAAGTATAACACTTTTTCGTGTTTTCATTATAATAATAATAATAAATATCATTTATGAAGCGCCAATTGATCATGGTGATATGAGTTCAATAGCAATGACAATAGTAAAATTAATAATTAATAATAATAACAATTGACCATGGTAATCATGGTAAAATGAGTTCAATAGCATTAAAAATTGCTGGGTGAATATTGCAATAATAATATTATAATAAAAAAAAGGTTAATTAGAAGCAACATATAAAAACTATTGTCAATTTAGAGCAGGATTAAAATAATAAGTTTTTAAATTAGATTTAAATCCACAGAGGGAGCTAGAATTTCTAATATTCGGAGGCAAAGAACTCCAAACACTAGCAGTAGCATGACGAAATGCTCTTTTCCCAATGTTGGTTGAAGAAATATGTTGAAGAAGTGTTGGTGCTTTGGCAGAGCGAAGATATTGATTATTCTTATTTAGATGAAGAAGACAATCAAGATACAAAGGGGAATGTGATGACAACAACTTGAAAACGATGATGGCGATTTTATACTGGATACGGTGATGAAATGGAAGCCAATGAAGGTTTTTCAAATTAGATGCTGCAGATATTAGTTGATTTGGTGGTGTATCAATATTTAGTACAACTCTGGCAGCCCGAATCATCAGCCTCTGGAGACATGTTTTTCTTGCTTCTGAGATATGCCAAACAATTGAATTACAATAATCAAGTTTAGACAATATCAAACAACGTGCTAGATTCCCAGCCAGATCGACTGATAAAAACTGTCTGATATGACGTATTTCCTTGATATGATAATTGCACGCTTTAATAATAGATGTAATATGATTTGAAAAAGTTAGTTTCTTGTCAAGAACAACACCGAGTGTCTTTAAAGTGTCACATAGAGGGATATCACTTTTACCAATCCTGATTGATGTCAGGTCTTGTAACTTTTTGATTGTGTGGAATGAGCCCAATTTGATGACCTCTGTTTTATTTGAGTTGAATGGAAGATTATTGAGAAGAAACCACCTCTCCATGGCAGCAATGCACGTAGTAATGGCATTCACATATGATGAAATATCATTATTCAATGAGATGAAAAGTTGTGTATCATCAGCATATTGATGGTAGGATACGTTGAATCTGTTGATAATCTCGTGAATTGGCGAGATATATAACGTAAAAAGAAGAGGATTCAGAACCGAGCCCTGGGGTACACCATGTTGTAATTGAATTGTAGGTGATACATATTCTAATATTTTGACAAATTGACTACGACCAGACAGGTAGGATGAGAGCCAGGACAAGGCAGATCCATCCACACCAAAAACAGTGTTTAGACGTTTTAATAATATGTCATGATTGATAGTATCAAAGGCTGCCGACAAGTCCAACCCAGCAAGAATTGTTGTCTGTTTGCTGTTGCAGGAGTTGAACACATGATCGAGTATGTGCAACAGAGCCGTCTCCGTGGAATGATATTTACGATAAGCTGACTGGGAAGGTGTAAAATTTGGATGTTGCGAGATGTAAGGCTGTAACCTTTTTAGTGCTGCCCTTTTAATAATTTTGGAAATGGTTGATAAATTTGATATCAGTCTGTAGTTTGATGTATCTGATCTATCTAAATTAGGTTTTTTTATGAGTGGAAGAACCTGTGCAGTTTTGAAGCTGTCAGGAAACTGGCTATGAAATGAGAGATTGGTTAAGATGGAAATGGCAATTGATTGGGTATTGATGCAGTTTGTTAACACTTGATGTGGGAAAGGGTCCACTGGTGATGTTTTGTTGCATGAGGAATTGATAATGCTTTTGATCTCATTAGGTGTGACATCATCAAAGAGATCAAAGCAAAGAATATTGCAAGCTGAAGCAGAAATATGATCTGAATTACCATCACCTGATGAAACCAATAATTGTTGTTCAATATTTTGGGAATGTTATTGATTTTATTAATGAAATAATTATTGAAGTTAGTGACCAATGATGATGTGTTAAAATTGTTGAGAGAAAGGTCGTTATGATTCCTGTAGAAGTTTATTGAGGTTGCGCCTAGTGACACGCGGGTTGATTGATTTATTGAGTTCATTTCTCAACGAATCAACTTTTGACTTAAGGATCAATTCCCTGGCCATGCTTTTTGCATTATCATAGTTTAGTTTGTTGATTGTTGTTTTGTTGTTCAATTATCGATGATTCTTCTGTTTGTAGTGACTTACTATCCAATCAGGTTTATATTTTGTATACTGTGTATTACATATTGGGTTGTGGTTATATTGTTGTTATTTTTATTTATATAATTTTCTAATATAAGTATTTTCTGTTTAAGGCGAATTATTTCAATGTAGGAATAATGAACATTTTCTAAACTTGGAATTTCATTTTATTTTTGTTTCTTTCGATTATTTTTAACCGAAGTAATTTCTTTTAATTGAGAATTATTTTAAATTTAAAATGATGAACATTTTTTTAATCTTATAAAATTTCTTTTTACTTAGTTCATGATATTTTCTTTTTTATGTTAATTTCAGTTTTAGTCTCCGTTATGAGTTTGTGTATACACGGTTCATGTTAACAACTACCATTCAGTAGCTTTCCAGCAAACTGAAGGAATGAAAACTAAAAAAAATTTTCTTTCAAAAGCGAATTAATGTTTTTCAAAAAATACGCCTTAAGCATTTTATAAAAGCAGTGAACTGCGTTGGTCACCAATGACTTGACCAGCTGCACTAAACAATAACTCAGATGTTCAATTTTCGTATAGAATAATATTTTATTTTAGCTAAAGCTTAAGTAAAAATGTTGAAACAAAAATTTACCGAAATCCGGTCCGATTTTTAATATAACCGGAGACGAACTTTGGTACACTACGCTTTTAACATTCGATTTTACAATTTTTCTTATAGGAGAAAGATAAAAAATACATGTTGTCATTAGACAATTTAAAAATTCGGGACATTGAGAGTGGTTTCATGTCTCGTCGATGTATGTTTGCCCTGTTCAATGTTGAAAATAGGTATGCTGGAATTTTCAGCATGTAATTTAAATTCATTAAAAAGCATAAACCACTTGAACGTAGAAATGTTTACAAAGATTATAAGCAGTTGGAATTATCAGCCGAAAGTGTGGAAGATGTTGACGGTTGGAAAGCTTCATTCCTTCGTGCTGGTGTTTATCCTGAAAAAACCCAACAACAAAATTCAGATGAGGTAAAAAATATTGAAAATTGATTTTGTGTTCTTTTTTAAAATGTCAACTTATAAATTGGTTACTATCAAAAACATTCCAAGAAGATACTTTTATTTTAATATAATATTCATTATAGTTTTTTTCACATATAATATAATTCACTTAATATTTAACAATTATTAATTATTTTTCATTTATTATTAATAATTCACTTATATAATATTTCATCATAATTAATATAATACAAAATATAAAATGTAGACATCTAACGAAACCTTAAAATAAAAAAGTGAATTTTTCATATAGAGATTTCTTATGGCCCAGGCTTTTGTTTTTTGAAGTGATTATATTAAATAATAGGTTTTCTTTCATTTTGATTAGATTGTAATAGAAGATTTTATTTATATTTTTTAATTTCCATTTTGTAATAATCTTTTTAAATAAAATAAACACAAACTTTAAACTAATTGCCAACTGTTTTTTAACAATATGTATGTATTGCAAAAAAATTCGTTTTAATCAGGCAATGAAATTAAAAAAAATTTAGCTATCGTAATTATTTTTATTTATTTTTGAATTGATTTTAAAAACGCAATAAATGACTAAATGTTAAAAATATTAGAAAGCAATTTTTAAGAAAATATGATTTTTATAAATGGTTGTTAAAATCTCTAATAAAAAACGGTAATGAAACAACAAAATTATTATCAAAACATTTAATACATAAATCAGCTTCTTGTCTCCAAGATTTTTATAGGATCTCTTTAAATGATGAAATGAAAGTTTAATTACTGTTGTGTGAATATCTTGGTGTAGTTATAACATTACTTTAATGATTAAAGTTTATTTAAATAAGCTTTGTAAATGTTTAGAATTGTAAATCATTATCATATAAATATTGTTTAATTACTGTTGTGTGAATATCTTGGTGTAGTTATAACATTACTTTAATGATTAAAGTTTATTTAAATAAGCTTTGTAAATGTTTAGAATTGTAAATCATTATCATATAAATATTGTTAAATATCTGGTATTTTTAGTATGAACAATTTCTACTCCACTTAACAATAAACGATGAAAAAATTCTCCATGTAATATCAATGATCAATTTAAGTACTTGGGAATAATGTACGATTTTTAAGTCAAAACACCAGAGAAAAAAATGAACTGTGTGATAAACTCAAAATTTTGCTGCAGAAAATTGGAGAACTGACTCGACAGCTCAATGGAAGCTAGAAATTTTCAGACATTTTATCCCCTCTCAAATAACATTTGAGTTACGTATCTATGATATGTCGCTGACTTTGATAGAATGCACTCTGGACCGCCTTATAACAGAAGCGGTAAGAAAATGGCTGTCTCTGCCTACAAGCAGCTGCATCGCTGAAGTTATCTCGCTACTGCATAAAACTGGGGGCCTCAACATAAAATCGCTGAAACACCACGCCATGTTATTAAGATAAAAACTCCGTGGGTATCTCAAATTAACGCCAGCGAAGAAATAAGATTGCTATGAAACAAATCTCATATTTCAAATATAATCTTATATAACAAATTTCAGAAAATGATGATGATGAATAAAACCAGCAATAAATGTTCTACAACAACACCAATATTACAGTTATTTTTAAGAACAAAGGAAGAAGTTCTATTGTTGGCATAGTAAATTCAAAATGTAATTTGTCATTTCAATTGGTTGTTTTGGCGTTTTTCATAACTATTTTTTAATATTCTTTCGTTCATTTTATATGACGTAAACATAAAGTTTTTATAATATATTGTTATATTATTGGTTCCAATGGACCGGTTCCTATCATTTTTTATATTAAATTAGGTTTTTTTTTCTTAATTACAACTTTATTACTGGATCTACAGTATAATGATAGCACTCTTATAGGAATAAAAAGGGAAAAGGCTAAGTCAGTGTCAAAACAGTCCAATACAGGGCTTCAATCATAAAAACTTTAGTCAGCCGGTCATCTTCTTTGGTCTCCTTTTCTTCATCGAATCGTAAACTTTCATAAGCATCATATTCTTCTTTGTCACTATTTACAAAATTTTTAATAAACTAAACGTTCACCAAAAAACTTTAGTGAGAAAAATTGAAAAAACGAACTACAAACATATTAACGCCAAACATTCGGTAGAATTTATAGAATATTGTAAAAATTACGGTCTATTACCAACATATATATGTGTATATGTGCAATATTTGATAAAATCTACAGAATTTTTAGCTTCTGAAAATTTACGATTGAGCTTTTCAATATTACAAAGTTCCTGTTAGAAGTATTGAAAAGCTCAATCGTAAACTTTCATAAGCTAAAAATTCTGTATATATATATATATATATATATATATATATGTATATTTATATTTACAATATTCTATAAATTCTACCGAATGTTATATATATGTTTTCAATACTTTTATAGAATATTGTAAAAATTATGGTCTATTACCAACATATATATATATCAAATCAAATTAAATATTGTATTTATGTAGCGCCAATTATAATTGCTTCTCAACAGCGCTCTCCTCGTATGAAGCATGTTGAAAGCGAAGCCATCATCGGTTGAGATCACTAGGAGTTACCAAATAGGTATGTCTTTAGACGTTTTCTAAACTCAGCTAATGATAACCCGGATATACCTAGTTCGATAGGTAGGCTGTTCCAAAAAATAGGCCCAGCAACTGCAAAATCTCTATCTGCTGTTTTCAGATTCAGATTCTACATACAGCGTGTTTGAATCAGCAGACCTTAGACGCCCATGTGATGACATAGATGAAACTCGAATACACTTATCTTCTAAATATTTCGGAGCCAGACCATTTAAACTTTTAAATACCATTACACCCAACTTGAACATGATTCTTTGTTTAACAACTCCTTTAGAATTGGTGATGCATGATCAAATTTTAATTTGCGATATATCATTCTAGCAGTCTGATTCTGAACCATCTGAAGTTTAGACAACAGTTTATCAGCTATGCCATATAGAAGACTGTTACAATAATCCAATCTAGAGTTGACGAAAGCATGTACTAATAGAGTCATTGTATCTCTATCTACCGATTTTGTGACTTGACGTAATTGACGTAGCTGGAACATACATTTTTTAACCAATAGACTGATTTGTGGACCCATTGTCATACGGGAGTCCATCACAATTCCCAAATTGGTAACCGTTTTACTGAAACTTATATCAGTCATGCTGATGTTAATCGAGGAAGGTTCAACCGCTGACGTGTGTTGCCATGTACCAGCCAACATGAACTGAGTCTTAGTCTGATTCAACTTTAGCCTACTTTGACCCAGCCACGAGCCGACATCAGATATAGTTTTTGTCAGTTTCTCTAATACGGTAGGCATCTCATCTGGGAAACATGAAACGCAAATCTGCATGTCATCTGCGTACCCATGGCAATGATAACCATCTTTATTTAGTAAATCCAATATCTCTGCAACGTACAAATTGAAAAGAATCGGTCCAAGAACAGATCCTTGAGGCACCCCTGACGTAAGTTTCATTGGTTCCGAGAGACCACCTGAGTAAGAAATCTGCTGAGTCCGACCAGTAAGAAATGATTCGAACCACGCTAACGCAATCTTATTTAAACCATAACAATATTTCAGTCTGTCCAGCAGGGTTTTATGATTCACAGTATCGAACGTCGAACTATGTCCAGGAATGTTAACAAAGTTATTTTTTGTACATTAACTGCTGAATAAACATGAGAGAATATATCCGATAGAGCTGTTTCGGTCGAATGAAACCTTCTGTATCCAGATTGATGCGAAGGCCAAATACCATTTTTATTTATATGATTATTTAAAACTAACTCAACGGAACGTTCAATAATTTTAGAAACGAAAGACAAATTTGACACCGGCCTATAGTTTATCAGATCTGATTTATCTAATCCTGTCTTCTTTAGAATTGGCGTGACAATTGCATGCTCGCAAACCTGTGGCATTACACCCTTCGTTAAGCACATGTTGATTAAGTCCGTTAAGTAAACAATAAAACAGTCAGCATATTTTTTGAATACATGCGTCGGTATTGGGTCGAGTGAGCATGACTTCGTAGGTGACGAATTAACAACTTTAGATATATGTTCTTCAGTGAGCACTGGAAACGATTCGAGTGGAAACATAATATTAGTATTAGTAGAAATAACTGGAAAATTAAAACATTCAGTTAACTTTTCGGTCACTTTCAACTTGTCAGCAAAATATTTTTTAAAATCATCGGCGCTAATGTCCTAATTGACATCAATAAACCAAAAATAAATATACAACAAAAAAATGATAACCTTACTCCCAACCCGGCGCTTAATCAACAATAAAAACAAAGGAGTAACAAAAACTAGCATTGTAAATAATGACAAAGAAGAATATGATGATATCGATGAAGAAAAGGAAACCAACGAAGATGGATCAGTCAATAAAGAAATCTGGCACCTAATATCCATCTAAGTTCATTTTCACGAAGTAAATATTTCCCTACATAAATCAACTTGCACTGATGACGAATCATTCGTAATAGAAATATTTGCAGCATGAATTCGGAAAATATGTATATATAAATAAATATATATATAAAATTTCAAAACCCTTGCTAAAATCATTGTTCTATATATAACCCCGAATGAAAAATATATAAACAAATAGGTGGAATCGCCATGGGCTTCTCATTCGGAGTACTCTACGCCAATTTCTACATTGGCAACACAAAAACAAACTTTCCTCAAAAATCCTGAACTAAAACCCCAAATTTATGCAAAATACGTCGACGATATCTTTGTCGCGTACGACGACCCTTGACCAAATTACAAATCTTCTTTCTACTCTTAATAAATCTAAAATAAAATTTACTATAGAATATGAAAACATCAAGACCTTACCATTTTTGGAGTGGTTAATCACTCGAGATGAAAACTGCTTCAAAACCACTGTCTACAAAGAGACAAACAAAGAGATATGTCTAAGTGGAATCAGTGAGTACTCTGAAAAATATTAACGCATCACAATAAAAGCATTTGTAAATAGAGCATTCACACACTCTACTTCAAAAGGCGACGGTGAGGCGAGGTAAAATCACCAAAGTTCTTGTCAAAAACAACTACATAATAGATACCATCAACCGTAAACTACAACATTTCATTAATAACAACAATAAACAAGACGAGAATATAATTTTCTACTACAGAAACTACGTGTTATCTGCATTTAAAACAGACAAATCTGTTCTAAAGAAAGTTATTTAAAAAACTTGAAGCCTAGAAATACAGACGATAGAGTAAATTTATTATAATTTACTGAGAATTTATTATCATTAAGCAAAAACGGCAAACCATATAATAAAAAATAGTTGCACGTCTCTCCAAGATTCAACCCTGGAAAGAAATCACCTAATATATATGTTTAAATGCCCTCTTGACGGATGCACTTGGAGTACCAACTTCATCCCTACGACGTCGCCTTACTATGCACAAAAGAAAGGAGCCATTAGAACTCTCCTGGGAACTATAAATCAAACGATCCCATCACTAGAGATATTAGTAAACAATATTAGTATAATATACGGTAACAAGAGCCGCAACCATCTAAGAATAGCTGAAGCGATCTTCATTGACCAAAGAAAACCGCAAATTAACAAGCAGCAGCATGAAGAATATTAGAATATTATTGAAAGACTTTACAAGCAAAAAAAATGAACAGAACAAGATGTAATAAATAGACAGGATCAAGATATAATAAACGGACAGGACAAAGCAGAATAAAAGCACTTTGCGCACATATGGTGCACGGAAAAATACAAGTATAAGCGCTGATGATGAGTAAAATCGAAATATGGCCTTTACGCTTTAAAAAAGGTTTATTTTTTCTTAACTTTCAAGCCCCAGGTAGCATTGATTACAACAATTTTTTTATTACTTCTATTTGTTATATTGTTTTTTGGTGATTAAGTAGAAGATTTGACCTGAGAGATCATCTTAAAATATAGGCAATGGGGTTTAAATGAAGCGCGTCTAGGTTTAGTGTTATTGAATTGTTTATATGAAATAGAATATTTAAGCGATAATTATGCTACACTATTATTTCATTTATAAACATTCAGGTAAAAGACGACGTAGGTTCTATGGACCCCCAATTAGAAAGGCAAGTCGAAACAATTAGAAATCTTGTAGATTCTTACTTACGAATTGTTCACAAGACACAACGAGACATGGTGCCCAAGACTATCATGCATATGATTGTTAATCAGGTTACTTATACTATAACGTTCAGAAAATTAGAATCTCTTTTCGCGAATGTTATCTTAATTAAAATATATGTAGTTTTATTTTACAAGCAGTATCTTGAATGTGTTATCAAAAAACTAATTCAAATTGAAAGATGTATTCATAACATGGAGAAGCGTATTTATTGGGTTCAAACTGCAATTGTGCTCTGTCTTGCGTTGTTATCGAGATCTATTATACGTCTTGTGAGTGAATGTGGGCGGTCAAGTATTATAAGGATTATGGTGCCTAATTCTGCGTTGCACTGACTAGGTTTGAATGAAAAAGATCCCGTCTATCACACGCAAAGTGTTTTATTTATTGATACATGCTCGTGTTCACATCCGCAGTGTATGTCGTTGATATTAATCCTTTTGATAAAGTAATGATGTGTCCTGGAGTTGAAAATAACTTTTTCCCGGTCCAGGATAGTTTTTCGCTTTGACTTTGGTCATGAACAGTCATAAGGCTTTCATTCAAACGTCATGGACCAACATCATGGACCAATTTTGTAACGTGCAGTAAAATTTTTACTGCATCGTAGCAACGCACTACCTGCTTACTAGTGTACAGCGTGTTATCTGAGTTTTTTTTTTAATTAACATGGGAAAATTTGATGAAAAGTACTGTCAACAGACTCATTCACAAAACTGCAATTATTTGAAGCTATGAAAGATTCTTTTTTGTTTGTTTTTTTTTATCCAAAAAATGAAAGAAAACAAAAAAAGGTAAACGATCATAACATTGCTAATTCAGTGCAATCGAGTTTGCAAAAAGAAGCTGATGTGATTTTAACTAGGGCATCGAACGGTAATTTTTTTCTTCTCGGTTTACGGTTTCGGTTCAATCAGCAAAACGAATTTCGGTTCGGTTCCGGTTTTCGTTCCTGAAATAATATCGTTTTTTTGGTTTTTTCGGTTTCGCTCCGAAACTTAACTTTTTCAAGCATAGTTCCTTAAACGCATGTAACGGACATACGAACATTCAACTATCACCACAATGCCAATTTGAATTAAATTTTAGATTGTGAATAATAAGAAATCAATAACAAAAATGATTTTTAAATGTTGTCAGTATAAAAGGAAACGTTTCTAATATTTTTTTTTCAACAAATTAAAACAATCATTACAAAGATATTTTGAAATTGCTAATATAAATTAAGATTGTTTCAAAAAGGATGAAAATTTCTTCTGATTATTAATATATCTTCTAAATTGTTTTCATTGAAATCGCTTCTGCAGTCTTTGAGGATAAATTTAATCCAGAAACAGATGCTTCCAGGCTCTTTTGTGTAGCTGTTAGTTCAAAATTGGATCTCTAATTTTTCCGATTATACTGGATTTCACTTCACGTGGCAATTCTTACTCAAATTATCGACGAACTCAGTCGGAAAAACAAGCAAAAAGAGAGATAACTAATTTTCAAAATAATAAAAATCAACATAGAATTTTAAAAGACGAAATATTATCTAAATATTTTTTTTCTGAATTTGACAAAAATATTTTCTTTTAAATTTTTAGCATCGAACCGTTATTTTATTTCGTTACGGTTTTCGGTTTCAGTTAAACTAGCAAACATTATTTCGGTTCGATTACGGTTTTTGTTCCGAGCAAAATTTCGGTTAAGGTTTAGTTCCTGTTCGATGCCCTGATTTTAACAAAACATGACGACTTTATCAATGAAGTTGTACAGCCAAGTCTTTAGTCCTTTGTATCATCTAAGCCAGAGATCAATAGACTGGATGAATTATTTCATGGTAAAATTTGTAAAAATGAACACTGGCTACTAAAATTTAGAATGATCTACCGGCGTAACGTTCGCAGAATTGATTAGTTTCATTTGAAATGGGAGGACTTGGAATCGTTAAGAATTGTAGATATTTTAAGGCTTTTTTGCTCCAAGCTCAGTTTTGTTCATACGTATGCTAAATTTAAAAATTTCAAAGCAGGCCTTTTTTGAACAATTGGCATCAGAAACTCTCTTTGAAAGTAGTCTGGTACCTAGATTTAAAGAACAACCTGAAGGAAAACTTGATAACGTTTAACGATGACGCTTGTACCATACTGAATGGGGATCAGGCTGCCAGGCGGCGATTTCGCTTTCGAACAAGCACGCAGTTTAAGAAAAAATGAAACCGCAAAAGCTTTGGATGATTGGAACCGCAAAAGCTTTGAATGATAATGGTACGAAAATGTGGCTTTTCTTGTCTTTTGCGCCTCGAAGTCCATCAAGAAGGCTTTTTGCTCAAAAAGCTGCATCAATGGAGCGACGAGTCGGTCTCTTACAACAAGACTCCATCTGTCACCACATCCATCAACACTCACACGAAAAAAGTCTTGGTTCAATATAAGATGATAAAACAAGTATCATCAAATAAAAATCTATCTGTGTGTGTGTTTTTTTGACTCTCTCTCTCCTCTCTCTCTCTCTCTCTCTCTCTCCTCTCTCTCTCTCTCTCTCTCTCTCTCTCTCTCTCTCTCTCTCTCTCTCTCTCTCTCTCTATCTATCTATCTCTCATTATTTCATTATTTATTTTATTGAAGTTAGAAAAATGCCTATCTCTATTTCGATTTTTCAATCTTCTTCACCACTTGTTGAATTTATTGGAGTAACTACAACATCGCTAACAAAACGACTTACCATGCACAAAAGGGAAGGTTTTATAAAAACACACTAAAAACACACACATAATATTGAAGAGAAACTACAAGAGAACTACAAGAGAAATCCTGGACAACAACACCAAAATAATATACTGTAATTCCAGCCATTCCCATCTGAAACTAGCCGAGCCATTCCTATCGACACTAAACAACCAGCAAAACAGCAATACTCCCGACAAGAACAATAATAAAATATACTAATAACACCAATAGTACCGATGAAGACACTGATACAACGGCATATGATGGAATATCTGCACAATTGATGTATATTAATTGCCAAACATGTTATAATTGCTGCAATGGTCAAATTGCGCTAAATTATTTGTCTTGACTATTTGTTATATTTATATAACAAATATAAAATACTTATTTATACTTATACGTCCCAAAGGCCGTCCAAAGAAGTCCTGGTCGCAAACAATCGAGCAAGACATGAAAGCGCAAAAAGTTGATGGCAAAGAAAACAACGTCCTACCTCGGGAAACCGGGTCTCTGGACGCAAAACGAAGATTGATTATTATCGATTGTAAAACACTATATAAAGCACAGTGTGGTTGTAGTGATGATTTATGAGTTACTTGGGTTAGGGAATAATTCAGTGTTTCTATTACTGTTGCCATTCAAATAAATGTTTAAACATGTTTGCGTTTAAAGCAGTTGTATTTATCTATGGAATAAAGATAACTTGACGATAGTGCAAGCTGAAACACTGGTGTTGGAAATAGAGATCTTTGAAGTTACAGCGTCAGTGTCTCTGTCGTCGAAGTTTATAACACATCTATTATTTAAAAGCCTATCAAAAGCAACAAATGGTAATGGGTTTGTTATGAATGCGTATTCGCACCGTCATGCTCAATATTAACAAATATAGGTACTTGTGTATTTTCTAAAGTTTTATAAATCAGTATGCTGTAATACATGGCATTTTTCTCGTGGTGTTAGAAATAGGACAAAAAAATTTAGGCAAATTTTTTGGTTAACAGTTCAGTAATTAAAGCCATTTGAAAGTTCCTATCAGATATCTTTTTTAACTACCTGGCTCTGGCCGGATATCAAAAAGTCTAGTGTTTATCCTAGTTTTTCTTCAGTCTAGAAATAAATAAATGTACTGTTAAACTAACAATATCAGACTATATATATATATAAAATTAAATTTGATTATTACTGAATTTGCTATACAATACAGTTTAGTGACTGAGTTTTTCATGACATCATTTTGTTACCATTTTAAAATTAGATGAAAGATTTCGTTCACACTGAGTTGTTGGCTCATCTATACTCATCAAGAGATCAAGTTAGTTTAAATTTTTGTGTTACATGTCTTACAGTTCAGCTGCAATTTTTCAACATTAAAAAGCTTATTTAAATCGATATAACATATATCTAACGGTTAATTCTATTGTCTGAATAATTCTTCAGTCTGTTATCAATAGATTAAAAATAGGTCACTCAGTAATCACACATTCCTGGATCCTCAACAAAACAAAGCCACCTTATTGTGAAGCCTTTGACAAAAAACTATCTATTCAGCATATATTAACTGAATGTGAAAAATACGATCAGATCCGAAGGAAACTCGGGGTTCCATCAATGTAGAATTGCTCTTCCAGAATAGAAGTCAGGAAGTCTTGATTTCATTTGTGGAGGAGATAGATTTGATCTACAGAATTTGAAGTTTTCTAGATGTCACAACAATATAATCAGTTTCTAATGATCCAAGGGCGTTAAAATATCACATCGTGCTGAAACACCGTTAAGCTGCAAAAAAAAATTAATTTTTTTCTTTTTTAAGTACTGATAAATGAAACAAATCCTGTTTGTGGTCAAATAAAATTTCATTTTCTGAATGGATTGAATTTTTTAAACTCTTTTTTCTTTTGAATGAAGATGTCATAACTTCAACCGCATTTTTTAGTAGCAATGTTTTTTCCGTCGTAAGACCTAAATAGTGGGTATATTATAATGAAAATTTTGAATGATAGATAATAATGATTTAATAAAGATAATAATAATAGTTGTTTAATGAAGCACCAGAAAGAGGGACTAGAGGTACCATCGGATGTCGTTTAACAATTTGGTTTTGTGCAATGCTTTGTCGAAATAAATGTTTGTAATAACGACTTTTTTATTAAAATTTCTTTCTCTTTTTACAACAAGGATAAAAATGAACTGAAATCGAACGACCAAACTAGAACTTTAAAATTATTGAGTTAAAACCATACAAACTACTTTTACCTTACTTTAACTGAATCTGTGCTTACTGCAAATTTTATTATTACATAATTATTTTATTACATCAAAAATCTTTATTATACGTCGCACATTACTTGGGCTAAAGCCAAAATCGTAAAAAACGCTGATAATTTTAAGATTGGAGTGCTCTTAGGTTTGTTGCTCTGTTGATGATTATATGACGCAATGTTATTTATAAACCGTTTAGCGGCGGCCTAAAAATATGATCTACTTAAACGTATGGTCTACAGTCAATCAGTTGTGAGAAATCATTTTGTCCCATCTAGTTACCACACCACGATGTAGATTTTTTTATTGTTGTCCACTATTGGAAACTATTTTAAAAATTTTTATTTTTTAACTAAATATCTAAATAAATATATAAATTAAATTCTTTTTTTTTAAAAGTTCCATCTGAAAATAATAAAAATTAACTAAATAAAAAAAACTTTAAAATTAAACTATTATTTAACTGTAAGAAAATTGTTTATTTTACAAAATTAAATTGAAATTCAACCACAGAGACCTGAATCGCGCATCATGTCTACTAGTGTTTACTAGGTTTTAAATACAACGCTAATAAAACCCTGGTAAGTCAAGTCGTTCGTCGATATAAATTTGGACGTGTTATAGCACACAGTGTCAATAAATCGCGAGGTTTTTTCGTTTGTTTGTTTGTCCGTCTGTCTCTCTCCGTTTGTTTGTTTGTTTTTGAATTTTTGTAATCGATTATTTGATAACTTCCCATTGTCCGATTAAGCTTAAATTTCTGGTGGCAATGTGTGAACTAATTCACAGACTTAATTAAACTAATTAATAAATGAATTTATTAAGTTAATTGAAAAAAAATTTCTCCGATAACACTTTAAGCGTGAATTTTTAATATAGATGAATGCTCTGGGGAATATATTGTTGTGTTGTTTGTTATGCAATTCAACTACTTATATTTTATATATATGCGTACAAACATTTCTTTATAAAAATTTCAATTTCAACATTCATATATTTCGTCCTCTCTTAAAGACAATCATGTCAAAATAAACATTTATATCATCATTCAAAATCTATAAACAGCATTCACGAATAGTCATCCTTACTCCGCTCTCCAATCGTATTTAAATTTAGCATTCATAGGAAAATCATCCAACTTTTTTTTAAACTCATTCAAATCACTGCAATTAACAACATCATCATTCAAATTATTCCAAATATTAATAGTTCTATTAACAAAATAATTTTTTCTTAAGTTCGTATGGAATGTCATCTCATGTCCTCTTGTTCGTCTGGTGGCTCTCAATATTTCCGGCAAGCTTCGTTGGTCCTTTTCATTCAACATGTTAAACATCGTTATCAAATCACCTCTTATTCGTCTGTGTTTTAGTGTTGGCAGTTGTAAAAATTTTAATTGGTCCTCATATTTCATTCTTTCACTGTCCTTGATCATCTTTGTTGCCCTTTTCTAAACCTTTTCGATCGCTTCTGTTTCACGTATTGTCTATGGTGACCACACACTTGCCGCTTACTCCAGCTGAGATCTGACCAAGGATTTATATAATAACATAAAAACATATTTATCAATATCTTAAAAATTTCTGTTTAATAAACCCAACAATGAAAATGCCTTCTTAACATTGCAATGTATGTGCTCAATAAATTTCAGAGATGTATCAAACATAACACCCAAGTCTTTAATTATTATTTTATTATCATAATTATTATCTGATACAGAACAACCAAGCTTCATCACGATACATTTTTTTTTATTCAATTTCACATCATTCTGCACACACCACTCATTCAAATCATTCAAACCCCTCTGCAATATCACACTATCCCTATCTGAGTTCACAATTTTAAACAACTTTGCATCATCTGCGTACATATACATCGCAACCCCATTTACATCCTCAAATAAATCAAATAAATCATTAACATACATTAAAAACAAAATCGGCCCAAGCACACTTCCCCGTGGAACTCCACTCTTAACCTCACAATTCTTGACATACCATCATTCACTCTCACACGAAATGTTCTTCCATTCAAATAATTGTAAACCCAAGCAACCAATTTGTCATTCAACCTACATTTATTCAACTTAACCATTAATTTACTATGTGACACTCTATCAAATACCTTTTCAAAATCAGTATATACTGCATTAATCCCACAACCTTTATCCTCATCCCTAGACAATTTATCCATCCATTTTAACAACTGCAAAACAGCTGATTTTCCCTTGACGAACCCAAACTGTTTTGTGTTCCACTTTCAATCAAATGTGACATCAAAGCATCCTTTATTATAGACTCCATCAATTTACATGTTAGGCATGTCAGTGCAACAGGTCTATAATTTTTAGCTTCCTTTTTATCTCCTTTTTTATGAATGGCTGTAACAATACTTTCTTTCCATACATTAGGTATGACTCCCCATTCAAAAGACCTATTAAATAATGAACTTAAGTAATCATAAATAGATTCTTTACATTCAAACAATATCTTGTCACCAATGTTATCTGGTCCAGACGATTTACATACATTCAACAATTTAATTTTATTGAAAACAACCTGTGGTTCAAAATCAATCACATTCATTAAGTTAGTTGTTTCTTCACACAAAACAGTTTCATGTGTGCAATCATTATCCCCCTTACTAGTACTATAAACAGTGGTAAAAAAAATCAGCCAAAACATTTGCTTTTTCAAATTCATTTGTTACAACAATCTTATTTCCCTCTTTATCGACCCCATACAAACTATCTATAGAAAACCTATCCTTTCTACTATTATTTACCTGTTTCCAAAATATCTTAGGATTAATTTTAACCAATTTACCCAAACCATTTAAATAATTAATCTTTATTTACTTGATGTCTCTTCTAACTTTGTTTCTCACCTTCTTAAAATCATCAATTATCTTATTATCCCTGTACTTAATGAACTTTTTCCATAATAAATTTTTTCTCTTATTGAATTTAAAACAAAATTTGGTAGTTAAGGAAATTTTTTTTCATTTATATACTTTACTGGTACAAATTTATTAATATCACCTTCAATAACAGAAACAAACCTATCCCAAATTCCATTAATTATTGATTGTTTGCTATTGTCACCAATTCGAATTGTCACGCACTCAAAACAATAGCAAGCCTTTTGTGATGATGTGATTGATATAAGGTGCTATGTTAAGTGTGGAGGTGAATGTGATGCCTAATATATTTAATTGACTTGTGCGAGTGATTGATGGGTGTTCTGGAGGTAATTTTATTGTCTTACTGCAATTGTGAATGATGAATTCGAATGATTTATTGAGATTAAATGACAGATTGCATCGTTAATGAGTCGAGTTCTGATTGGATGGTGTTTGAGTTAGATGATGGGATGATAAGGTAGGTGTCGTCAGCGTATTTGATGATGTGACTAGAGCTATGAAAAGTTTTGATTATTATTATTAGGACTATTATTATCATTGTTATTTTTAATATTATCCAAATTAATAGTATTATTATTAAAAAAATTGCTGGTAGGGTATTGTTGGTGGTGGTGATGTTGAAGTCGAAGATATTAGTGAAGTCGATGTTGTTGAGATGTTGAAGGCAAGCACTACTATGTGAAAGATGACGACGGCGAAATGAGATGACTTTTCTCTCGGTGTTGTTTCTCGATGTTGGGTTTGTTGGTGGAGAAGCAGCAACCACCCCAAGATGATGTGTTGAAACGCGTGATCTATAAGTGTGAGTGATGTCCAGGTTTACATTAATCCCTTATATTCTGTCAAGGTTGTGACCTTGGCGGATGGGACCCCAGAATATAGGGTGTAGACCTGTTTGAAGGATGGAATGATGGTCGAGTTGATTGAAGTCATTCCCAATGATGAGTTTTGAGTATATCATTGATAGCATGATGGCGAAACGATGTGAATTTGAGATGAGATGAATGACTTCAAATAGATGACAACGCCTACTCCACGCCGCCTGCCAGGGCAGTCTATTCTGAATGGTGTGTAGCCATCTATTGCGATCAAACCATCAGGGTGAACAGGCCTAAGCCATGACTCGGTGATGATGATGATGTCAGGGTGGAGATGATACACATCACTTCTCAAGTGCTCAATAACATGTGGCTTGACAATGTTAGTGACATTCAAAATATTGATGGTGGGTGGATGATGACATGGGGTGCTAGGTAGATGCGCCGGGGGTGTTGATGTTGAAGTTGTTGTAGAGTGCTGTAGCGGTTGAAGAAAAGAGGAGAGGTTGGTGATGATCTGGGTTCCAAATTTTGTTGAAGAAAAAAGATTGTAAAAACATTGTCAGAAAAAATTAATTATTGTTTTATTGAAGTAAAATGAGCAAAGACTGTAGTTTATAACGGAAAATTTAATGATTGAAAATCTACAACACGATTTCGAGTAAACCATAGACATCGCAAAACCAGGAAAATGAAAAACTTTCATTTAAGTTAACACTTTTTTGGATTGTAGAACAATAATTGTTGAATATTATTAGCAGAATATTATTATTAAGCATTTCTTGTCTAAATTGATAGATCTAAATTAAATTTTACTATGGAAAAATCGATAAACAACAAACTACCTTTTCTCGATACCTTAATACAAAATATCAACAACAAATTCAAAACTTCATAACAGTAATATTTTGTATATGCATTGTTAACCTTCTTGATAAAGTCGTAGTAGTAAATCCGATATATTCTGTGTTTCTGTGCCTACAATCACCGATTTTAAAGTCAAAAAAATATACTAGATGCTCTTCATTATCGATTTGACAGTCTGACAATTTTAATCCATTTTATATATGTTTTAGTATAAATGGAAGTTTTGAATTTGTTGTTGATATTGTGTATTAAGGTATCGATAAAGGTAGTTTTTTGTTTATCGATTTTTCCATAGTAAAGTTTAATTTAGATCTATTAAAAGTGATTTATTAATTTTTTTATTTGGGTTGTATCTGGGTATATTGTTTAAGTTGTGGTGTATTCTTGAAAGGGGATTCTACCAAATGTTTCATGTAGAAATTAGCAAAGAGGACTTTGTTTGTTTGTAAAGTTGGTTGTCGGGACTATGAATGGGGCTTCCATAGTACATATTTCAAGAAGTTTTTTAAGATGGTCTTTAGGGATATCCAGTGGGTTGATATCGGAATGATACACTTTATCAAGAATGATATTAAGGGTATCTATTACAGGTACATTGGTAAACAGAGATTCAACATCCAATGGTGCGATTGTAGTACCATTTGTCGGGTTGTTGGAGTTGCATATGTCGATTGTAAGTGAGACTTGATGGCTCTCTTTTGTGTTTGCGTTGTGAGACATCTTAATAGGGAAGTGGTTGAAACACCAATATACAAACGTTGACTCGCACTATAGCCGATACAGTTTTGAATTCGTACATAACATGATTACGCTTCAATGTCGAATCGTTTTTAGGAGTACAGTTGTACTTTAGGACCAATTGTGATGTTTTAAAATTGTTGTAGTATATCCTGTGCTTAATCTTATTAGTTTCATTGATTGGCGTAACGTTTCTTTTTATGATTTTTTTGAGGACGGTCTCGTCTCTTTTGTGTGCCGTTTGCATATCATTTCTGTAATATAGGATTATGTCGTTGTCATTGCTGTTTTTAAATATATTGCTATCTTGTTGTAGTCTTTGTGGAATGGTGCTTTCAATGCATGATGTTTTGTAGCCATTGCTTACTAGTAGATTAGTAATTCTTTTCAGTTACGTATTTCGTCAATTTCAAAGTAGGTACAATAAAATCCTTTGTGAACTGTGCATTCACTCATTCATCCTCATCTGAAGATCGCAATATTTTCTGGTCTTTAATTTTTTCACGGCACAACTGTCTATTCATATTCTAAACATGTTTGATTTCTCCTCACCATCTCTTTTTTCATCTCCAATTGGTGATTTTTTTTATTGGATTGTTTCAGAACGGAGTAGCAAAAGATAACATCGTATTACATTAAGATCATTTATTTAACAAACTGAAAATTTTTCTGATTTTATATAATTATAATAAAGAATTGTTTTTAAATGATATAAAATACAAATGTACACCTATGGTTTCAAACCTTGTGAGTTCTATTGTGCTCCTATTTCCCGTACAACGTCTACCTATTCTTTGAAAAAAATTTTTTCTTACTTTGTGAATTGTTGAACAGCAAGTTTTTAAAATATACGTTGGTTCACTGAAAGTTAGAGTACTTATATTTACGACAACTTTTGCTTGGTTATTTGAATACAATAGTTATTTTAATAGTTTCTAAAATAGCTCTCGCAAATACTCGATTATGTGTATTTACGTTGTGTAACCTTTATGTTACAAGTGCAACAAGAATCTGCATTTGTCGTAGTTGCTTCATAATAGAAATAATAGTTTTATCAAGTTTATTTTTTAAAAAGTTATGTTGAAAATAAATTTCTCTTATAATTTCTTTTATACAGAACTCTCTAATGGAAGAATCAGCGGAAGAAGCTCAAAGAAGAGAAGAAATTCTTCGCATGTATCACGCCACAAAAGAAGCACTTAATATTATTGGTGACGTAACTACCAACACTGTTTCTACACCTGTTCCACCTCCAGTCGATGATGAATGGATTAAACCAAACGATTCATCAAGAAATCCTTCCAATGGGTTCTCTTTTTTTTGAGGCTTCCAATAAGTTAATGGATAACTAATTTTTAGAAAATTAACGTTCAACAAATCTTTACTGTTTAATTATACTGGTCTACGTATGAAAAAATGTTTTCTGCTGACTTGAGTATTTTTGCTGATTTTGTGTATTTGAGTAACGTTGATTCTATATTTAAAATCAGAAATTATGTAAAACGTCAAATTTTTGCACAAATAACAACTCTTTTATTTATTAAGCAATTTAACATTAATGTACAATAAGAAATTTTTCATAATAAATCAATTAATTAACTCTTGTGATTGTTATAATTTGTAAGATTTTGATTGGATAATATCAATACAATGTAAAAAAATATAAAAAATATAATTTAATTATAGTTTCGTTTATTTTTCTTCTATAAAACTAATCTATCCACTGAAAAAAAATAAAAGTCAATTACTGTGAAAATTTTTTTTCTTTTTTGATTTTCTAATATATTTTTTATTAGGCTTGTCTCGCTGTAAACACCAACAGTTGTCGCTATCATGCTTGTGTTTGCCTTGATATCTGCGCTCATTAATTTTGATGTTTTGGTGGAAACGTTCTCCCTGTTTTCCACTCATGACTCCGGAGTTTGATGGGAAGTAATTTAAATGGCTGTGAAGAAAATGCAAATTTGCACTCACGTTTGCTCCCAATTTTTGAAAAGTCATTAACAAATTTTCCACTCTAAAATTTGCTGTCTTGAAGTTTTATAGAAAGTCTCTAATAATATCACACAAGGCAGACTAAGCGTTTCTTTCTACGTTTTTTCATGTTATTACTAAACTCTGTCTTTCATCAGGAGCCTGATCTGTGGACCATCAAATGTACTCTGTCTTTCTTCAGGAGCCTGATCTGTGGACCATCAAATGTACCGGCTTTCGGTTTTTATCTGGAATGAGCAGGGAACTTAGTACGGAAGTATTTGAAACATTGTCCATCTTGATCTAAAGCTTTGACAAACTGTTTCACAAGTCCCAATTTTATATGCAGGGGAGGAAGCAACACTTTTTGAGGACTTATTTTAAATGTGTTTCTAATTGGCCACAGATTTTTTTATAATATCCTGGCTGTCCCATAGGCACAAACAAAAGGAAACTGTTTTTCTACTTTGTTTTCTTAGGAGCAGGAATATGGCTTTTAGGTGTCCGCATTACATCCAGCACTATTCGTTATATTTTATTTTTGCAATATAATTTTAATAAACTATTTATATGGTATTTATTCAGATTATATACTAAGCATTTGTTTTCTGCATTGTTAATTATTTCATGGTATTATCTATTCACTTATCAACGCAGTTTGTTTTAACATTAGAACGTTAATATCGATCAGTTTTTTTCCATTTTGTGCGAAAAGTGGACGTGACTGATAAGCATGATATGATATTTGGAATAAGCACACTAAAACACATAAAGATCACCTGTTATTGTACAGTCAACAAAATTGACGTATACTAATGTTATGTATTGTCTAATTTTATATATTTAAATTTCAGACCATCGTCCCCTAAAACAGTCGTGCAGCAGCAAAACAGGTTATCTCAAACTGGTTCCTCATTGCCATCAAGAGCTGCTCCTTCAGCTCCTACAAGACCAGCACCGTCAGTGCCGTCAAGAATGGGTCCAAGTCCTACTCCTGTTGGTAATATTCCATTCAATCTTCCACCTCCTCTCCTACCCATGTAAGTTTGCTAACTTTTTATTACATTTTGATGTTAATAGTAAAAATTGACCTGGAATTTATAAAATTTTGCGTGTTGATTGTATAACATGTAAATCTTGATTTAAGCAAAGTTTTATGCTTAATATGGCACCTGTGCTTATTATTTTTAAAAATTTGAAGAAGCTCAGTTTTATTTAAATATGGTTTTCAAGTTAATTTTGAAAATAATTTTGATAGCGTTTTTGTTAAAAATAAAAATTTTTGGCTTTTTGAAATTATTGTTCAGCGAATTGTTAAAGCCTCGGTCAGGTAAGAGTAATTCAGTTTCAGGCGTTTTCCGGAATGTTAAAGTTAAACGTATACCCCTCTGGTCTTGTTTCTGGTAGAAATGAAATTTTCATCAACAATGAAATTCTACCTGTTTAACAAATACGACAAAAACAATAAGTCAACATTATGTAAACTATTAATTAGTGTCTTTTACTATAAAGCATCTTTATGAAAACAGTAAACCGTAAAATATCTCGTCTATAAGTATCTAAGTGAAAATTTTGACAACATTAAATTTTTAATTAATAATAAAAATAAATATTTTTGATCAAAAAATTTATAAATTGACATTGTGTTTTTTTTATTTTAGAAAACAACAATAATAATTTAGTTTAACACATACATTCTTTGCTTTCTTTTGTTTAAAATTTTTTGACCAAAGAACAAGAGGACATGAAGAATGGAAAAAGTTGAAAAAGAAAACTGCAAGAAAAAGTTTTTTAAAAATTGTATAGTCAATAACTGGAATAACTTGATGCAAAAGATTTGAATATTTTTGATAACTGTATAGACTCAGATGTTGGATAAATAATTTGAAGCTGTTACAGTCATGTTACTACTGCAGCTTGACTCAATGCGCTAAAGTGCACCACAGCATATTGTTGTTATTAATATTATTATTTAAACTGCTAACCCCCTTTTTTCCATTTTCAGTCATGAAAAGTTTCCTAATTTGATAAAGGCTCAAAATCTAGTAGCGTGTGAAACTTGGTAGCTATAAGCTATAATAGTGTCATCAGAAAAGAATGCTAAGGCAATTTTTTTTAAAAGTGATAATAAATTTGCACATACCCTTTTTGCACTCGTACGTAATTTTACACATACCAGCTTATAGCATTGGCGTTGCTGAGATATATTCGATAAATTATAAATATATGAATTTTTATAGAGTAAAACAAAGTTTATTTATAAAATAAATTTCCACACGAAGTTTATCAAACAATTTCAATCATGTACGGTCGAAAATCTGGTAAGGACCTCAGATTAAAGTTTATGCATATGAATAAAAAATCTCTTCAACGAAAATTCAAATTAATGCGATAGGCGCTGTACAATTACAACAATCATAAAAATTAAATTATTTACTTATAAAAATATAACATTTGTGAACTAACGAATTAAAAATTATAATTTTGCCCAGAAGTAGGTACAAATCCGGTTGTAACTTTTTTCAAAAAGATGTGTTGTTATTAAACAAATCAAATACACAGATAAAATATTTTTGAATCAGTTCATATCTAAATTACAAAAAATCGTGTCTTTTGTCGAAAATACGATGATCGAAGATACGATACAATTTTGAGTGTTCATTAGATAAGAAACGTATGTTCATGCCACTTGTTTATAGCGTATAAAATGCCTTGATTAGGTCAATAAGTGTTTTAAGTGAACTTAAATTCTTTGTCACAAAGACCTGCCAATCTCACTATGTTCGTGCCTGTTCTTCCATTGTACATAAACGCATAACTTATAAAATCGTTAATGAAGTAAACAATTAGATTAATTATATGACCGAAAAAGTTTAATACACACTTGTTTATTTCGTCACACAATTTAAATTTTAATAAACTCAGCATTTTTTGTACCGCAGTTTTCGTTTTAAAAAGTTTAGGAATAAGCCAGGTATTTTCTAAAAATATTTTTTTAAAAGCCGTGACAAAACCCTCCGAGGTAATAACAAAACTTACCTGATAAAAAAAACTCCCTGAACAAACCCGGCCTTCGAAAAACCCTACAAACAAAAACTCAATATAAGATTTTGCAGTTAAAATTATTTGTGTGCGAAAAGTTATACAATATGAAAAAATTGACGTAAATTTTTGGGCTAATAAAAAAATAGCAAATAATTTATATTATTACCATCTTCTTCTCGTGCCATATCTTTTCGGGACATTGGCGACCATCGACCTCCACAAAACCCGACCTTTAACACTTTGTAGCAGTTGAAATGTGGTGATATTCAACAAGTTACACAAGGACTTCACGATTGTTATTCGTTCTTGACCGCGATCTCTTCCCTTGCAATCTTTCCAGTAGTTTTTAAATTTTTCATTCTTCCTTCCGCATGATGTGACAGAAAAATATTAACCGCGCACGTCGGATTATTTTGTAGTATTTTCCACTTTTCATAGCCGGACTGTTTTAATGCATCCTCATTGAAAGTATGAGAAGTTCAATCATTTTTTATAATTTTTCTCAAAAACCACATCTCAGCAGCATCATTTTTTTCCATTTCTTTAGAAATCGTCTATTACTATACAGACGATAACAACGGTCAAACACTATGAAAAATATCTAAGATCGAAATAATACTAATAAAAACTACGCATAAATTGTTGAATAGATGAATAATTAATTTTATTTATTTGAACAGGAGACCTGGTCAATCTCAAGCACCTCCTGGAATTCCTGACCGCCCTTCTAGGCAATAATTGTAAAGAATAAAACTTTGAAGGAAAGCACTGGTTTAAAAATGTTTTACAAATCACGTTAGAAATGTTTTCTAGTCAAAGAATTTCAAATATTATTTTTCAAACAAAGATAAGGTTTCGATTCATCAGCAAGTAATTTTAATCTAAGATTTAGTTAAGTTGATGTTTTTTTTTCATTTGCAAGATAATGTTAAATAATCGTGCGAAACGATTGAAATACTTACAAAATTTACTTTTTATAAAGTTGAAATTATTTTTTCTTTAAATTGCTGTTGTTTCATTTGTTTGTTGTAAAATATTTTCATAGACCAAAGACACTAGATTTTTTATCATTGATATTATGATAGTATTTGACCAACGTTCCTATAATAATTGCTAATCATTGTTATCAAAATTTTTAATCTTAGAATTTTGTCGTGACGTTATTGAACAAGTTTATAATTCTAGTCTATAATTTATGTTCAAATCTATTGGTTTCTTATGAATATTTTTAACGTTTTAACTAAAAATTTATTTGGAGTCAAACTGTTTTAGTTATTGTGCAAATTCTTGTCTTTAAAATTAATAAATTGAACATTTTTTTAATTTAAAACGAAAATCTTCCATTTTGTTTTGTCTTATTAATTTGTTTAGTATGATTAATGCATTCCAACTTGGTTTCATTGAGTTCAAATGAATAATATATCGCAAATACATATTTTATATTAATTTTTACAAATTCTTCTCATATTCAGACATAGTCGAACAAAGTAATTAATTTTCTATATAATCGTTAGAAAACTGCACTTTTTATTTGTTTCGGTTCTTTAATTGTGTAGCTACACAATTTATAGACAACAACTCCAGTTTTATATTTCCTTGATATATCAAACTTACAACATACTCTTCACATTTAGTTTGAGTGATTTTAATGTTGAAACTTTCGTATTTTTAATATTCAGGTAGTTTAAACAGCTTTTTGTGTCGTTTTAAATTAGCAAGCTCACTTGTCAATTTTTGTTGTATTTTTGCAAGATACAATCTCAAAATTCATGTTTTCTTTTATTCTCATTCAGTTAGATTGTCAACTTAATAAAATCTACTAAATGTTTATAGTAATGATGTCGTTTTTCTATAGTTCATGCTAATGATGTCGTTTTTCTAATAATTCGTTAAAACTGAATCAGACCCTGGTCTAAATTTAGCTTAGTCACAGTCTTTTTCTCAATCTTATATGTGATATACCAGTAAGCCGTTTTAACTTTCGTACTCCGTTGACTATTTTTTACGTTATTAAAATTTCCGCTTCTTTTTTACGTTATTAAATTTTCCCCATTCATAGTCCCGACAACCAACTTTACAAACAAACTGATGGATTGATCTTTCCAGTTTGGTCAAACATTTTGAACAACACCTTGCACCAAGGATATCTTTCACATAAAAATAACGCAGTTATTTGGAATAAGCCATAAAAAAACACGTCTGTGTTCTTTTATTGGTTGACGTTGAATACGATGCACAAATTTACGGCCAAACCAATTATAAAAGTCAAACTATCAATAAAACTAACTAACTTAAAACCAAAGCCTGCTAATTACTTTTTTCCTAACTAATGCCTTAGGTTCATATTACGCACCCTGCTAAATTAACTAAGCACATCCGTCTCGAATCGTTATTCTTGTTATGGATCGACATTTCTAGTATCTTATTCAAACAAAACGACGTTCAAAAAATCTCGTATCCGAATAAGAATACCATATTTTGCCTCGTATAGTAAAAATCCTCAAGAGAGGACACTAGCGGGGAATGCTCAAACTGTCTGCTTCTCTAAACTGGCCTCTCCTAAAGACTCAACATTAAATTTTAGCTATGATATTCGAATATTGCTTTTGCAAGTTAAATAAAATAAGAGCTTTTTTGTATATTTTTATTTAGCCAAAAAATCTTCGATTATTGTCTTTCACATTACAAATAGGTTTTAATATCTCATTTTCTAGAATATTTTCAGTGGATTTAGACAATTTAATTATTTCTTACGGATTGAATAATTTGTTATCATTGGAGACTCCTGCTTCCCATTGCCGTTTAATTGTTTCTTAGTTTTCGCGAATGTTCGCCATGTGTTTTTCTGCATTGAAACTCCTCTGCAATATAATCTAATATACCCACCATCTAATCTACAACTAGCATTTAAGGTCAACACATTTTTTACTTGCAAAGCCATTATCGATGTTTAACGATTTATTAACATCGAAAATAACGAGATCACGATAAATAAAACA